CTTTATACAAGAAAATAATTAAATAAAGTTCTCAACACTCATTCAAATATTCTCATTTTCATATATGTTAACGAACATATTAGGGCCTAATTTAATATCACATTGCAAGTTCATTCCATGCTAGGTACAACCATGTGAATTGAATTCCATACAAAGAAAATAATTAAATAAAAGTCTCAAAACCTATTCAGATATTCTCAATTTAATGTATATGATAGAATATGCCAAGCTCATCAACAATATTAAGTTAAAAATCCAATTAAGTGAGTAGAACACTTAAAATAAAATTAATTAACCTAATTAATTAACTTTCTCTAGATTTTAAAATAACTCTAAATATTCTCAAATTTACATATGTTAAAGAACATACCAAGGCCAAATTTAATATCACATTACAAGTTGATTCCATGCTAGTTACAACCATATGAATTAAATTTTCATACAAGTGAAAGATTAAGTAAAAGTTCCAATGGCTATTCAAATACTCTCAATTTAATATATGTTAATGAACATATCAATGCCTAATTTAATAGCATACCGCAATTTAATTCCAAACTATATACAACCATGAGAATTAAATCTTATACAAAGAAAATAATTATATTAAATTCTAGATAAAATACTTAGGCATGCATACAAGTTGTATAAGCTTACAAAATAATCAATACAACAATTATGTAAACCTAAGACATCCCCTACCTCACTTTGAGATGAAATCTCGAATCCCCACTGGAAGGAAATCGCTCTGAATCCGACGATACTTCTAGGTTATGTCAGGGACTACAAGGGAAGCAACTTTAACCCTTGAGGCACCATGAAAATCCAAACCCGAACTCAAAACTTGAACTCAAAAATGGTCAGAATCGACTTCTAATAAGGGGGAAAGGAGCGCATCGCCAAGGCCTACGATAAACACTAAGGTACTACGATATTTAACAAAGGGGAAGAAGGTTAATATGAGAGAAGAAGGGTGGCAGCCCCCTTGGGCTGCCATGGCTGATCTGAAGCAGTGTGAGAAGAAGTGGATGAAATGTTTTTTTATTTTATAACCCCTATTTATAGTAAAACCCTAAAAGTGCCCCGAAAGGGCCCCGTCGGGTCCGGAAAAGTGGAATTTGCGCAAACGCACTCAAACGGTAAAACACTCTGAATGAAAAAGAACCAAAATGAAAAAAAATGAACAATGAAAGAAACGGCGTCGAAAATTGAGTCTCGTACAAAAAGATATGCCCCGAACAAGTTCGGCGGCAACTTGGGTCAAAAACCCTAAAACTGGGGAAAGTGACCATGAGGAAATTCTAAGAGTACACGACTCGACGAAAAGTGAAAATAAATCCCATACGAGATCCAGGCTCAAAACGAGGCATTTTGCAATAACTTTCGTCAATTGCACAATAGCCCTTACAAAAAGAGATAACTGCAAAACTGCCCAAAATGAAAATATCTTCTAAAAAATATTTTCTTTAAAACCCCTAATCAAAATGTTTTCAAAAGATATTTATGAAAAACACCCCAAGAAATATCAATGTTTCTGAAAAATCATTTCATCCACGCCCCTACGGGAGAAAGAAACAACCAGCGAGCTTTTCTCCAAAAGTAAAGCTACACGTTTCGAGGAAATCAACTGAAATAAAAACTCGTGAAGTTAAAACTCAACTCCGACATGAAAAGTGAGGTTGTGCCAACAAAGTGACAAATGGGAAAAAGACGAAAAGTGAATAGTGTCCAAAAATTGAAAATGTGAAAATGACTCGGTCCTTAAAGGAAGTTGTCAATCCAAAGGAAAGAGTCTCGGAAACCATTTCTGATCACTTGAGACGACGCTAAGTGACGAGTAACCGAACTCAGAAAAGAAAATTCAATGAAAAAAAATTTATCCATAAAATTTCAGAAAAAGGAATGAAAGAAAAATGATTGGGCCATTACAGTGGTCTTCATCGTCACGGATTGCACTTCTCTTCTCACGGTCTTCACCTTCTAAGACTATGGAAACCCTAAAAGCCGCCAACACAATATGAGAAAATTCAGAATAAAATGAGAGAGCGATTTTATGTAGCCTTGTGCCATTTTTTTTATATAGAAGAATTAACTTCTATTAAGGTTCTTACGGGCTTTTAGGTATTCTGATGTCTTTTGGCCTATCTTGGATGAAATAAGACTTAATAAGGATAAATCTAGCATCTAAAAAGTCTAATATATTATGGAGAGCTCGAGCTTTTAAAGCAGAGCTCAAGTTTCTTAGAACATGGCTCGAGCTTTATGGAATGGCGCTCGAGTTTCACTTCTATACTTAGCCAAATTTCTTGAAATATTTTCTGAAGCGTCTTTTCCATCAACACTTAAAATATTTTTGGGTTTTGTCTTCAACAGTGATCGATCCCCTTTGATGGTGCTCGAGCCCTAACTTTTGGGCTCGAGCTTGTTGACTCAGGGCTCGAGCCCTTTGTGAAGGTGCTCGATCCCTTTAGGTCTCGCACGAAGTCCTGGGAGTATGGCTTTTCTGAAAACAACTCTTCAAATTCTAACGCCTCATGGGCTCGAGCTTTTAGGCAAAGGTTCGAGCACTCTTAGGTTGAGCTCGAGCTCTTGAGATCAAGGCTTGAGCTTTGCTATCTTAGTTGAATTTCTTGTTTCCTTCTGCTGAACTTGAACCTTAGAACTGAGGCTTGAGCTTTGGCATTAAATTCTTCCAAACTTCACCATTTTAACTCTCGACTTACTTTGACTGACCGGCAACGACTCTGTGCAACTCCAAAGGTCTCATATTCAATGACCTTGACACATCTATAAGCTTTTATATCAGTATTTTCATCTTAAAGTCTCGGTTTTAATCGTTTCTTTAGGAAAGTACCTATAAACACAAAATAAACATAAATTAGTCTAAAACTGGATAAAATTATCACTTAAGGTCTTAACATACATATATTTAGGGGGATCAAGTACGCAATATTCAGCGCTTATCATACCCCCAAACTTACATATTGCTAGTCTCTTAGCAATACAGAACTAAAAAGCCGCTTTCGTGGGAATCACAGTTGCATTTAGCCCATGCAACAAGCCTTTAAACCCCAAGGTTATTCTTAGTGGATGAGTTGTAGTCTTATGAGGGTTCCAGTGATGGTACCCACAAACATCTCAAACTGTGCCTTAATTGCACACCAATCAAGTAATTTATTTTTGTTATTATTTTGGGTTAACTTCAGTTACACCCCCTGAGGTGTGTCCAAACTTCAAGGAGACCCCCTACGTTTGCAAAAATTCAATCAGACCCCTTACTTTTTCCGACACATATCAGTCTCCCCCCTCGGTCAACGGTCAAAGCTGGTCAGAGATACTTTTTGCTGACATCATAAAACAAGTAAAAGATAATGCCCAAATTGCCCTCCAATGACCATGTTTGGTGAAATTGTATATTTGGTTATGGAATTGCATATAATTTGGAATAGCAATATGCTTGTAACCAAACAGGGTTATATTATATATGTATATATATATATAGATACTGTCATCACCGCTTCTTCCTTGCTCGCCGTTCAATGGGGATTGGGCGCCGGTGAAGAAGGTGGATATATAACAATAGCGGTTATATATATATATAATATATACGGCACTTTCCCAACCACAAAAAAATGTCATCAGATCAGGAAATAGAAAGTGTAAGTAGCTTCCACGATTGATATTACTATCTATAGGATATAGGATGAATGAGCAACTAACTCTAATAAAAAAATAAAATAAAATAAAATTTACCGGGAAAAATAACAAATCTAATCTCCAATAAAGTATATTCAAGTAGTCGGTGAAGTTATGATTCAAACAAGGGAGGAAGATGAAAACACTGTTAGAGAAATTGTGTGAGAATCAAGATCTATAATTACTTTTCCTCCCTCTCTCTCTCTTCAACCTCTACCACTAATCTACTATTATTCAATCTTCTCAGACCCCAAAACAACCCAGGAGAACTTTCACAATGCAATTCAACAACTCCTCCACCTTCTCTGCCAACCTCGCTATCGTCGGCGAGGACTTGCCGATCGACTACGCCGATTGGCTTCCCAAGTCCCATCCTAGCGACCGCAGAAGAGCTGGCGTCCTCCTCCACCCGACGTCGTTTCCCGAACCCTACGGCATCGGAGATCTTGGCGACCAGACCTTTTGCTTCCTTGATTGGCTTCACGAACTGGTTCCTCTTGTTCCTCCAGGGAGGAAGGCTAATGAAGAGGGTTCCCCATACTCTGGACAGGTGACATTTTCATTAAAATTATATTCATCTGCTTGCATGGTTTTTTATTTTTTCTCTTTTTTTTCCCCCCGGTTATCATAAAAAATAAAAAAGAACATCTGTGGGGAAGAAAACTTAATTAAAGAGAAACAGAAATTTCTTAGACTGGGCTGAAAAGATCACGAAACGGATCTCATTCTCACCGATCGACTACAGTTCGGCCACTCCCTCGTGCTTGCAGTGTTCGTCCAATTGCAGAATTCCTTGCTCACATTATCATAGCGTCGTCGTCATTTGGTGCGCCGGTAAGTTCAGTCCGACCTTAGGCTACTGGGTACGCTTTCATGCTGGAATTAGGGAAAAAAAAAAAAAAAAAAACAATTTTACGTTTTTTTTAATACAATTTTACTGTTTGGTTCAAGAGATAGGGTAGGTTAGGCAGGAGTTTGGTGTTTGGTAAAGCTTATATGGGACAAGGACAAAAAAGGTAAATTAGTCATGCCACTCATTTATTTGGCTTTCTCAGTCAACAATGTCTGACATGGGGTCTGATTGAATTTTTGCAAACGTGGGGGGTCACTTTGAAATTTGAACATATCTCAGGGGTGTAACTGAAATTAACCCTATTATTTTAAATTTTTTATAATTTATGAGCTTGCAAAAATTATTTATAGGTATATGGATACATCAAACAACTAATCAAGTAATTTATTTTTGTTATTATTTTAAATTTTAATTATTATTACTACTACCACTATTATTATTATTATTATTATTGTTAGTTATTATTATCCTTATTGTTAATTCACAGGGGTTCTAAAAGTGATTCATATATCTTGCAACTAAGCAATTTATTTTTGTTATTTTTCTATTATTATTATTATTATTATTATTATTATTAACTATTATTATTATAATAACTATTAGTATTATTATTATTATTATTAGTTATTAATAATAGTATTATTAATAATAATATTATATTATTTATTATTATTAGGCAAAATTGCAAAAAAAAAAAAAAAAAAAGGCTGAATTATTGGTTAGTTGCAAGATGGCCCTTGAAGGGTATTATGGGTATTATATATTTATGATATTTTATAATTTTTATATAAATTAATAAGTGGGGATATTTTGATAATTTTGATAATTTGAGGACGGAAAAATGTGGTCCGGTAATCAAAAGGGTTCTTTTTGAAATACTTTATATAGATGAAGGGTTGATGTTATCTTTCACTTTTGTAATAGTGTAAGGTTTTTTTTTTTTTTGTGTGGCACTTTTTCCTTTATTTATAGACGACAAACAAAGAATAAGGAGACTGGAACTCGTTTATAGATTGCTTTGACGCGCGGTACCCGATTGTGATTCTTGAGCCACTCGAGCAGCCGCTTTACACCACCAAATTATGGTTTTTATATATATATATATATATATATATATATTCACTTAACAAAAAAAAATAGATACCGACAGAGAGTAAAAGTAGGTAAAACAGTGAATTGAGAGAGACAAGCGGAGAGTGTGTAAACAACACCCCACACCACCACACCACAATGTGCCCAACAAACTATTGACTACACATAACCCTAATGCCCCGATAAAACCATTATTTTAATAACTAACGGGTGAACATTATTTAATTAACTTCATGGGTTATATGTTACAATGTTTATACACTTCACTTTTTATTAAATATTCTGTGCCAATGAATGATAATTATTATTATTTTTATTTATAATAAATATGGTATCGACTGGTTGCTTTCCATTTAGTTGTACGGACAAAGTTCTGCTGTAAATAAAAATTTCCAGGTGAGTCCTCCTTAATTCTTCTTCTTGTTTCACTTCTTTCTTCTTGCATATGTGATGTGTGTGTGTATATATATATATATCTGTATATTGTATATATATGTACACACAAACACGCGAATATAATACTTATATATATATATATATATATATATATATATTGGATTTGTAATTTATATAATAATACTGCTATGGACCTAAATCAATTATGATGAAAGAAGTTGGGAAAATCTGTTCCTTGATGGATTGCTGAGGTATGGTGTTTAATTTCTTCCTTTTGAACCTTTATTTCTTGTGTTTTGCTGTTCTTCTTCTTTCATAATTTTCACAAATTTCCCTTCAGCTTTTCCTCAAAAACGATAAAAAAAATATATATATATTATTATTATCAATACCCTCCCCCCCTCTCTCCCTCGAGTGAGTCTGAAATTGGAGTTTTTTTTTTTTTTCACCTGTAGCAAGATAATTTACACATTAAGGAACTGTAGGTGTGGGTTTTTTTTTCCCATTTTTTTAAAAATTATTTGAATTTATTTCTTCCTTTTCTTGGACTTTGGATTCATGAAATTGGTTTTCCAATCATATACTATTTGATTGCATCATCTTTAGCTTTTTCTATGTGGAGAAAAATTATCGGGCACCTCCAACTGTTCACGCGTAAAACGTAAAATTACGAATATTCTGAATGCGCTACTACTCCGACGATCCGGATGCATACACAAAAACACTCTTCCTCATCCCATTCATTATCCTACTTAAATAAAAACACTCTTCCTCGTTCCATTCATTATCCTACTTTTATTTGTTTTCTTTTTCTTAGGGAAAAAAAATGATGAAAGTTTAAATTATTGTAAGAATCTTGATATTCGTACTAGTTTGGATTATTTGTCAAAGAGAATCGCTTGAAGCGGGACAATAGGTCAAACTAGTCTACCTTTATATCATTTTCCAAATTGTAAATAGCCAGACTGCACATTTTTGCTTAGATATAGATATACACACATACATACAAAGAACAGATTTAGACATGTCCACATTGCTGGCTTCCTCCTTATTTTTATTTTTTCAATTCATTTATTTATTTCTTTAATATTATTATTATTATTATTTGTTTTGCATAGATGTCTCTTTAGTGCAGATAGTATGAATCCATCACATTCACATAAATTATCATATAGTATCCATGTAGTTGTAACATTCACATAAATTATAATATAATATCCATGTGGTTGAGATTCAAAATATAGACTAATATATATATATGACAAAGTCTTATAGACTTTTTTTGTACATGAGAACTTGTGCCACTATATATAATATATATAAGGGTAAGGCATGTTATGCTTTTAGGTTTCCTTAATATGTAAGGTTTCGTTTGCATTGAAGTGTAGCTTTTTCGCTTTCTCCTTTTTATATATCTTCTCAAAAATTTGGTGTGGCCATATATAAATATGAAAGTATGTCTGTATAACAGGCTTAATTAAGAGAGCTGCTAGCATAGCATAGCATTGCATATATAGTAGGAGGAAAATGGTGGATGTGGTGGGGTTGAAGGGAAGTGCCTGTCGAATAAGGAAGTGTGCGTTTGATCTGTTGTCAATTGGAGGTGATCTTGTTGTGATGGATGATAATGGCTCGGGCTCGGGCTCATCATGGGATTTGATGGGAAGGGATCTACGCCTCAAATCAACCTTGCTGTATTGCGATTTCAATCATATCATCTCTGCTTCCCCACACCAACATCACAAGAACACTCTCACTCAACTTGCCAACAAATTGTTTCGCTCCATTGAAGAGGTAATCTCTCTCTCTCTCTCTCTCTCTCTCTCTCTCTATATATATATATATATATATATATTATGTATGTGTCATTGTTGATTCCAGCTTCAACCACACCACCATCTCCATCCTGACAGGCCTAATTTATTTTGATTCAATGTGTTTGGTAGATAATCCATTCGTTTAAAGTACGTAAAAGTAAAAGAACAAAAAAAGTTATAGCAATCCTTCACTTTAATTTACCCGATCTAATTGAATGTGAATAAAAAAACCTTGCTCTTTTACTTGGTGTTAAGTCTTTTTTCAGCTTATTCACTGTGTTTTTTGTACTAGGGCTTACACACACACACACAGTTGCTTTAGTTGGGCTATTATTTCTTACGATGGCTCCTGGCATGATCATGAATTTTAGGCTTGGACTGCTACCTTATTATAATAAATACATGAGTGTAACATAGGTTATAAAATCATACTTGCTTTTGTTAATGAATGAATGTACTAATTTGTACATGAATGGAGAAGCATAACTCAATTAAGTTTGTGTTGTTTGACATGCAGTTGGATGATGCGGTGAAAATTCGAAGCGTTTCTTTGAGCCACGATCGATACAACGAGGCTGCTGTCATTTTGCATGAGGTGATGGCATTCATGTCTTCAGATGTTGCTTGCGATGCTCAACCATCGCCGTCGCCATCGGCTTCGGCTGCTGTATGAATGCAAATGCCGCCTCTTTTCTTATGGTGTACATAAACCATATATTTTACGTAGCTTAATACTCTTTTTCTTATGCGCAGCTTGTTTTTGGTCCAATAAAACCATGTATGGTATGATAGGCACAGTCGATCTCTTTAATTGCAAGAGCTCATTAAGATAACAATGGACAATCTTATTTATATATATGTGTGTGTGTGTGTGTGTGTGTGTGTGAGAATCCATACCAAAACCAAGTTCGAACTGCAGAAAATTGTAACTGCACCACCCAGTAGACTGAGTTCCACAGGTTTCACCAAAAGCAATCAAAATAACACAATTCCATGAAAATTGCTAGTTATGGCCGTTGCTAAATGGTATGTTTTTTCACCGCACGAAGATTCAAGATCTCAATATAAGGAGTCAATAAAAAATGAGTTCACTACCTAGTAGACCTGTATGGAGCGGATTCGGATCCGATTAGTCTGATATAGATTGAACAAAAAATCTGATAACCCGATTAAGATCCGAATCCGATAATCCATTAACTTAACAAATCAGATATGAATTATATTGATCCAATTCGATAAAAATCCGATCTAATGTGATTAAAATTATATATATATCTCAATACTCTTATTAGAATTGTATTAGAGGTAACCCAAAAATCGAAAAATAAATAAATAATAATAATAATAATATTATATATACAATAATGTGGTGTTTTCATCCATATGCTAATAAATTTCTTAATATATATACTAATAGTGTGGTGTTCTCGTCAATGTTATATATATTAGTTATATATTACTAAATTTATATATATTAATTATTTATCATTATATTTATTTGGTTGCATAGTTATATTATATAACATTTTGTATATTAGCAATTTTTCACTTCATCTAACTTTATAATTATATATATGTGAGTAAATATGATTTTAATCCGAATTCGAATCCAATTCGATCTGAGTCCGAGCTAAATAGAATATGGATTGAGACATTTAGTCCGAGAACCCGTCAGTAATCCGAATTCGATAATTCGTTTGCTTAACAAATCGAATATGGATTTAATAGATCCGAATCCGAATCCGATCCATTGACAGACCTACTACCTAAGGCCCTACGAGGCAGCATTTTGGATTGGCTCTTTAAGCAATCAAAATAATTGAAAATTATGCGTTACAACGATACTGTAAGACTCCGTCAAAAGACTTACGATAGAACCAAAAAATTAATATATGTGCACAATATCATTGTGGCGGATACGATGAATAATTTATCCAAAATAACACAATCTACGAAAATAAATTTTATATATATATATATATATTTCTGACAAACTAAGAGGAAAATTGAATAGAGACACAGAGAATTGGACGCCCTTACCAAATAGTGTACAACACATTCTTAAATCAAAACTAATGTACCACATTCTCCTCATTACCTACTTGGTTATTAAAATTACTAATAATAATAATTAAAAATCATTGTGTTAATGAGATTTTTTTTTTTTTTTTTTTTTTTTTTTTTTTTTTTTTTTTTATCGTCTAAAAAATTTGGTTATCCGAAATATAGAGGTTGAAAATGTGGGCTAGTCCCTTGGGGAAATTCATCAAGTAATGGGTTGAATCAGAGATTGAAATTCAGGTCTTAAATTTTGTAAAAGTAGGACCTAATTAGCAAATGGTTTGCCTATATAATAAACCACTGTGAAGCCGAAAGGTTCAACAGTTTTAAGTATCATTTACTACAACTCTAATCTTTCCTACCAATATTCAGGTGTCCTATAAAACCACACTTTACGAAGAAAATCAAGTACTCATTTCATGCACCCCTAAAAGAAATCATTGATGCAAATTAAAAGCGTACTCCCACGTACAATTGAAGCAGAATAAAAACGACTGGAATTCTCACCACAATCCGAGCACACCTAAATGCATCATGTATGTATGTATGCAATGAGAGATTAAAAGAAGCTGCAAAAGACATGATAGCACTCTAACAAGATGGATAAATCTATCAAGCACCAAACAAACTATCCACTCCAAGGTTTCTTTTTGTCTCATAAATTTATACAACATAAAAATACTCTTACTCAACATTTAGCTACAAGAGATGAGGGAGAGACTAGGATTACTCCCCAGAATCCAACAGAAGATCGAAGAAGATGGTTCTGTGCATTATTATTAACTGGTGCTTGGATTCGCTATCTGGTGATGTCAACCTTTCAGCTTCCAAAAATAACATGATCTCTACAAGTTTCTCATCGTGGGATCCAACATGTCTGATGAGTATGTTTGTACACAAAAGGAAGAAAGTGCTCCTACCAGCTTCTTACGCATTTACAGAAGATTTTTTTTTTTTTTTTTTTTTTTTTTTGTACTTACACAGACCAGATAAAGCCAAACTCGACCTCAATAATTTTCAATCAACATCCAGGCTCCTGCTTCAGATGAATTGCACTTGATGACCCAAACATCATTGTCTGGAGAGAGAGAAGACATGTTATCAAGTGTAGGTATGCATTGATTTTTAATCAATGGCATCTTTAATCAATGGCATCTTACTACCTTATTATCCTCATAAATGACTTCAAGAAGAAAAGGAAAAAATCCGACACTTCATAGGTGCAATAACTACCAATTACAGCTATATATATATAGCAAAATACAAGACGTGGATATTATTTTTGAAATGAGTGAATATGTGCCTTAAATCAGTTTACTTGTAAATATTATAGTTTTAACATATGGTTCAATGTAAGTTGGAATATGCAAGTTTTCTACCTGAGCCTTACATCATGGTTGAATCCATATATATTTGGATTGGTTACAAATGAACTTAGCTAGTCCATGGTGCATGTCATTTCCTACAGAGTTTTTCATTTACGACCCTAAAACCAAATGAAGAGATATGCTTTAAAACTAAAAACGGTTCAAAAGAAAATATACGGAATGCAATCATAACGATGGGGCAGGGGATAAAAAAGATCCAAGAAAAGTATAGCCAGTGAAATACCTTAGGCAAGTGTATAGCTAAGGAAACACCTTGGACAGTCTTCTAATCTTAGTTTGACAACCACATATTCATTGACAGAAACTGAAAATGACTTCTAAGACAAATAAAGTCCGCAATGGGCTTCTTTTTTGCAAAAGTTGCAAGCTAAATGAATTTTTCCACGGAAAACCAAAGAAAACAGACTAACAAATACTCCCATGATTTAATTATTGTAAGGTCAACTTTAATAAATAATGTTGTCAAAGGATAGCAGTACATATTTCTACCAATATATAAAAAATGTACCAAGCGTATAAGCCAATCATTTAATTATCAAATAGAATCAAACCAGCAACTGAATCAGAATTTAGTTACTGTTTTAAAAACAAAGATATGCAGTGATCAAAAACCCTTTCAATTATACATGAGAAGTAGACGTATAACTAGCAAACAAATATGTTGAGTCCATTTTTTCAATATTCCATGTACTTCATATGTTAAATGAAACCAGATACAAATGTTGGCATAAGAAGAGGAGGCGGAGGAGAGCGGGGGCACGAACCTTCTAGAAATAAATAATAATAAAAAAATTCATCTAATCCTTTCCGTCATTGGACACAAAAGAGGAGAAATGAGAAGCCCATTGAATGTCCAATAGTAAAAAAGAAAAAATAGTAGTACATTTATAGCTAAAAACCAGCACAAATTATAAGATGTTTACTTGTGTATGGAATCAAATCCGAGAAGTGTGGCAAGTATTCTCGGTAAGGGCTCCCCTTTGCCTTTGGTAGGGTCTTTGGAGGGAGAGAAATAGAAAATGCTTCGACGGTGCGGAGGCTCCTATTTAGGAGATGAAATTCTATGTTTTATATTATTATTATTATTATTTTTGGGGGGGGGGCGGCCTTGTATATAAGAACAATTGTAAATCTATGGGGGAGTTAGTTGATTTTGTGAATAGCCTAAAGGTTTTAGATTTCTTTTGGCAATTGTGCAGTTGTTTAGGGACGACTCCCCTTTTGAGCGCTCTTTCAGTGATATATACTAATCCAAAAATAAATAAATAAATCTCGCAGAGGATATGAACTATTGCAAGAAGAGGACAATTTAGACCAATTTCTGCATGATATAGCACATTTTACTAAGAGGTAATGAAGGATCAGAAGACAATTTGGGTAGTCTGGTGTATGATAGTGGGCATTGGATTGATTGGCTGAGTGAAAGGAAGTTAATATCATATGATCATGAATTGCATTATAAATATGGCCCTCAATAATAACAAATAGACATCATTAAACCTTAGTGACAATGAATGTCATACAGCGAATAAGATCTCGTGTGAAGGATCTCAGTGATTCTTTTAATGAACAAGGAATTAAGGATCCCCTACCTACTCATAGATGTGCAAAAACAGTGAAAATGCATGAGATTACCTGATTTGTATTAGGAAAAATACTATTTGCAAGATCCTCATTTATTGATACAGGCAGTGGTGGCATCTGACTCATTATGCCAGGCATATCCCTCATGCTGCTAAAATCAACAAGCATTTACACGAGAAAGTATTAGCAACATTAAACGCAAAACATGAACCTGATTAGAACCATCAGAATTAAAAAATCTGAGAAAATTTGCGTACTCATTTAGGATGGCAGCAATGTTGTTCCTCGAGCAAAAGAAGAGATCGATATTATCCCGCAACTGTTTGACAATGTGTGAAAATTAAATGTCGGACAAACCAAGGGTGGTCAGAATTAAATAATACAGAGAAAACCTCAGTAATTCACATGTCATGTGGAAAAATATGTGCAAATTGTTCAAGATCGGCATACAAAAGTAGGGGGAAAAAAAAAAGTGGAGAAAGAACTATTACATTAAAAGCCAAAAAGATTAAATGAATTTGTTCTCAAATTATCTGCAGTTAAGCACATTTCAAATTGTTTCAGGACCCAATGAGGTACAATAACAAGATGTTAGAAAATAAAAAATAAAAAAAATTGATAAGAAAATATGTATTAGAAAGCGTTCAAAAGGGGAACGCATCCCAAAGCTACACAAAGGCGAAAGCCAGTGAAAAGGTCCTAAGGACAGTTTTAAAATGTGCTTTCTAAAATTTGTTTCAAACAGTAACCGTGCTTGCTTCTGATTCAAAAGTTTCTGCGCACAGTTGATAAAGAACTAGACTGTGTTTGATAGACTGATAGCAATTCATGCATAGCCAAAAGTGCTCTTAACAAATTGATGGAGGACCAAATAGTATTCTGATACCAACTAATGCAGGATCAAATAGTGTTCTGAAACCAATAGTTGTAGAGTTAGAAGGAGGAGAAGAGAGGTCAGAAGATGAGATAAGGCTAGACGAAGTTGGTGAGAAGACAGAAGAAGAGGATAAGAAATAGATGGAAAGATAGGCTTGTTAGACGGAAAGGGAAAGGAAAGCAAGAATGAGAGAGAAAGAGGGGAAGAACGCAGAGGGATTTCTGAAACTCAAAATAATCTCAATATCAAAGTCTGGCTAATTTAATCACATAAGAGCCTTTTTATAGGCAAAATCATAACCAAACCCTAAGAAACCGTGAAATAAAATAATACAAAAACAATCCTAAATTAAACATTACCAAAATAATAAATATTTAACCATGACTTATCATATCCCTAATTCTATCCTTGAAGAAGAGACAAATCACATGCGGCTCATGCGTCGAGTTATGTGACGATCTCCATTAATAACTTGTCAAAATACATTTAACATGCAAAAGCTTGATAAGTATTGACCAATTTTCACAAATATAATCTATATATTTGAAAATTTGAATTGATCCAACTTGCTAAAGTTCCAGATGTGTGCAATTCACTCACTCCTTGTGGTCCATTTATAAGAGAAAATAGTGGCACAAAAGGGAGAAGGAAAGGAAAAGGGAAAGGATGGATGGAGATTTCGTTGTCTGGAGGGGTAAAGGTGAAGGAAAGGAAAGGAAAGGAAAGGAAGATATTATTTAATTAATTAATCAAAAAGAGACTTTCTTATCTAAACATATTATGGTGTGCAGGCAAAACGAGGTGATCATTGTTCAAATTAAATATGGTGTTCATTATTCAAAAAGAGGTATAGTGCACAAAGGGGTTTTGGAACCTGCATAAATATGAAGCCCCATTCATCCGGGAAATCTTCCCTTTTTAACATCTATGGGAAGAGAAACCTAAAAACCAACATGCCAAGTACAGATCTTTTATCTGCTAACCATTCAACTTTTTGTCATGATAGAAGATGCAGCATATCAATTTACTGAATCATCTGGTCAGGTTCAATTAGTGACGATAGTCTCCATCATGCTCATTTTCCCCTTACAAAATTTCTAGATCCAAATAAAATTTTCTTAAAGTTCAAATTTTCTGAAGTCTAGCCACCAAGTAGAAGCATTTCAATGTAAATTTCTAGGTTTACCAAAAAGCTCTTCCATAGCTTTCTTTAATCCATTTTCAATTCAATTGAGACCAAGTACGATGCCAAAATTAAAATTTTAAAACAAGGCAAACGTGTACTAGGCTAAATACATAAAACTGCATTAATCATAAACCAAATTACTGCCATGATGTTACTCACCCTAAATTGCTCCAATCAGTGGATGAGAGAAATTTAATCCACTAGAAGTGAATAACTGCAGGAGTAATAATAGCCACTAAACCCTTTGAAGAAGCAATGTTTCAAACAAGAGCCGTCTAATTTTAATTTTTTTTATAAGTAAGATCCATTTAATTATTAAGATTTTGTAAAGCTTAACTCATTGCTAAACAACAACTAGGGCCACCTAATGGTTATCCTATCTGTAGCTCAGAACCAGTGTGAAACTGGGAAACAGCTAATCAATTAGTTACAAGCCGAAAAGGTTATGCAGTACAGCCCAGATCAGATAGCTCCCATGATCACGAGGTAACACAGAATTTAAGAGATTGAGAATCAACAGTAATAACTCTTTATCCATAGGCAGATACTCAAATAAATTCCACAAAATCCAACGAAAGGCTACTCAAATGGCAGGAAATATATATATACCTCTACTTGCTAAAGGGAATCCAGACGAATTCAAAGAAGGGTCGGATTTTCTACTCTTTGGAGACTTCTTTCTATCATGTAAACAATCGATGTGCATACAAGGTGCTTCTTACAACAGTCGTGAAGAGAAGGAAAAAAGTAACTTATGCATTATATCAATGCTTGAAGTGGCAACTATATGATTTTAATTAAATCTAAAAGCATCTTCTTTACTTAAAATAATGCGCTCTGTTGGCCACAATATCAACAATTCTAATTTCAAGAAATGGGATTCAAATAAATAAGGACTAATTAGTTTGAGCATTAAATCATGATACTGATTCATTAGTCACTATGCATGCCTATGTACAAAATTATGTAAATTATCTACAATGCGTCATGTACAAGTAGTAATGGACAAATGGTAAATAAAGAACTCAACTGCATTATCCTTTTCCATGTGTCTAAAACTAAAATGTATCATTTGCATCAATACAATTTTCAAATTAATTGTTAGCAGAATATAAGAATTTATTTGAGATCAAGGTACATGGTGTTAACCTTCAGTGTAGAAAGATTAGCCGAAATTTGACCAAGAACTTGATGGTTTTGTTCCAAAAGACGCTTTGTTGTGCCACTTAATGCTGGAACCAACAAATAAAATGAGAGTATTGGTGAGAGCCCAATACTTTGAAATCAATACAATCAGCAAAATAATACTTTTGAATTTTGATCTCTCAGGGCTTTATGCACACTCAATTTTAGAAAGTGAGAACGTGATGAAGTAACAAAAAATTTGAAGAATGTATGGGAGAACATCTTTAGTAATTTAATATACATAGAGGGAAACACTAATAAATGCCAAAATGTCAAATAAAAATGAATAAATTTCCCCCTTGCCCCCACCAAAACCATGCAATAAACTTACTTCCCATGCCCTCTCTGGAGGGTAATTGCTTAGTTATATGGCCGGTTCTATTGATCCATGGATAATTAACGTGTAAAAGACTTGTTAACATAGCATAGATGTTGAAAAAATATTCAGGTTAGTTGGACTTGGAAAACTTGCTACCATAACTCAGGTTACTTTGCTTCTGAAACATGTGAACAAAATTACAGATCTTGTTCTCAAACTGAATTTCTACCTTCCAATGGAAGGGAAGTTCAGATAAATGTCTGAAACACTGGATGAAAACAAGCTTCAAGGGCATGCTGGAAATGTCAGGGGGCACTTGAGAACTACATGTTCAAAATCATGAGAGAGAGAGAGAGAGAGCAGACATTGTTGTATATATTTCACTAAAAACCTAATAAGCCTATGTAGGCTAATATAAAGGATACAAGTCTTACTTAATAACACAAGGGCCCTACCAACTATATGTAATTACATAATGACCCTACATATATATATATATATATCATTCTAACACTCCCCCTCAAGCTGGAGAATATATATCAAATAATCCCAGCTTGGAACAGATAGTTCTTAACCGGTTATGACCCAATGCTTTGGTAAACATATCAGCTAATTGATCTTCAGACTTCAAGAATGGAGTAAAGATGCTCCCACGTAATATTTTTTTGCGAATGAAGTGACAATCAACTTCAATATGTTTGGTTCTCTCATTAAACACAAGATTTGATGCAATGTGAACTACTGCTTGATTATCACAGAACAATGGAGTAAGAGCTTCAACTGTCAATCCAAGTTCTTTTAGAAAATGTTGTATCCATGTCAACTCACTAGTGGTATGGGCCATTGCCCTATACTCAGCTTCAGCACTAGATCGAGCTACCACCATTTGCTTTTCACTTCGCTATGTAACAAGATTTCCTCCTACAAATGTACAGTAGCCTGTAGTAGATCTCCTATCTGAAGGAGAACCAGCCCAGTCGGCATTTGTAAAACCTTCCATCCTGAGATGACCATTTGATTTATATAGTAACCCAAAACCTGGAGCTTGCTTGAGATATCGGATAATTCGAAGAACAGCAATCCAATGTGGCATTTTAGGGGCTCCCATGAACTGACTTACAGCACTAACGGCATATGAAATATCAGGTCGAATGATAGTGAGATAAATTAATTTCCCAATAAGGTGACGAAATCTGCCTGGGTCATTAAATAGATCACCCTCATCAGACACACGTTTTGTATTTGAATCCACAGGAGCATCAACCGGACGACCACCCAACATACCTGTTTCTTCTAATAAGTCCAACACATATTTTCGTTGGGATAAACTTATACCCTTCTTGGATCTAGCAACTTCAATACCCAAGAAATACATAAGTTTACCAAAGTCTTTAGTGTGGAATCGATTTTGCAGAAACAACTTCAACTTAGCAATGCCTTCAGAATCATCACCTGTGATCACAATATCATCAACATACAGCACAAGAAATATGAAGCCAACTTTAGTGCGCTGGTGAAATACCGAATGGTCGGTCTGATATCTGTTAAGACAAAATTTTAATGCCGCCTCAGAGAAGTTTCCAAACCAAGCCCGTGGAGATTGTTTCAATCCATACAGGGCCTTTTTAAGGCGGCAAACAGTGTGAAGATACTCTCCCTAAGCAACAAACCCAGGTGGTTGCTCCATATAAACCTCTTTTGCTAAGTCACCATGCAAAAAGGCATTTTAACGTCTAACTTAAACCAAGGCCATTGTCTATTAGCAGCAAGAGAAATCAAAACACGAATTGAAGAAATCTTAGCAACGGGGGCCAACGTCTCATCATAGTCAATACCATAAGTTTGGGTATAACCTTTGGCAACAAAACGTGCTTTTAAACGCGCAATGAACCCATCTGGAAGATACTTCATAGTATATACCCAGCGACAACCAACAGGTTTGGCACCTGGAGGTAATGGAACAAGATTCCACGTGCCATTCTGATGCAAAGCATCCATTTCATCTTGCATTGCTTTCCTCCAGCCCGAATCAGACAAAGCATCCTGCACAGTCTTAGGAACAAATGTAGTAGACAACTGAGAGGAAAAACATGAGAAGGATGGCGAAAAGGAATTATAAGAGACATACTGAGCAATGGGATGATTAGTGACACACGAGCAAGGACCTTTACGAAGTGCAATAGGCAAGGAATCAGACACATTGGGTTGTGTAAAATCCAAAGGCTCTGAAGACAATGGAGGAGGCACGACAGCAGATGGCTTTGGTCTTCGAGTGTACACCTGTAATGGGGCAGGCGAAGGAGATCTATGTTGAAGAAAAAGTGAGGGAAGAGGAACCGCAGGAAGAGGCGACTCAGGAGTGATATCAAGAAGAGAATCAGTATCTGAAAAATATGGGATGGACTCACAAAAGGTTACATCCACGCTAATAAAGTACCGTTGACAAACAAGACTATAGCAGCGATAACCTTTATGAGAACGAGAGTATCCAAGAAATACACACTTTGTGGCACGTGGATCTAGTTTATCAAAACCAGGACCAAGATTGTGGACATAACATACACATGCAAAAACTCTAGGAGTCAGAGAAAACAAGGAAGAATCAGGAAATAAAATAGAATGTGGAGATTTGCCATCTAATACAGATGATGGCATACGGTTAATAAGATGACAGGCAGTAAGAACAGCATTACCCCAAAACCATTTAGGCATACGCATATGAAACAAAAGAGCACGGATTACTTCTAAGAGGTGTCGATTCTAACGTTCGGTAACTCTATTTTGTTGAGGAGTATAAACACATGAATTTTGATGAATAATTCCTTATCACTAAGATATGTATCAAAGGGGGGTTGAAGAATATTCCTTAGCATTATCAGAACGTAGAATACAAATTGGACATCCAAACTGAGTTTTGATATCTTTTCAAAATTTTTGAAAAATTAAAAATAACTCATAACGATCTTTCATTAGAAACAACCAAGTCAGGCGAGAATAATAATCCACAAATGTCACAAAATAATGAAATTTATTGATTGAAGAATGCTTTATTGGACCCCATACATCTGAATGAACCAAATGATAAGGACTAGAGACACTATTATTAACCCTAGACTTGAAAGACATGCGAAGATGCTTACTAAGTTGACAAACTTCACATAACAAGAATTTCAAATGACTAATACTAGGAACTTGACACTGTAAAACTTGAAGTGACGGATGACCAAGACGACAGTGCCACTGGAATGGAGACAGAGAAGATTGAAGAGCCACAGGATAAGGTTCCAAATCAAAGTAATATAAGCCACCAACTTCATGCCCCGTACCAATCGTCTTCTTCGTCTTGAGATCCTGAAACACACAATAAGTAGGATAAAATGTAATAGAGCACTGGAGAGATTTAGTAAGCTTACTGATAAACATTAAATTAAAGGGAAACTGAGGAACATATAAAACAGACGAGAGAGACGAGGAATCACTAAGTTGAGTTGTCCCCAAACCTGAAACCTTAGTGGATGAACCATTAGCAAGAGTAACACTTTGAGAAGGAGGTACAGAATTAAAATCAGATAGAAGAGAAGAACATCCAGTCATATGATCGGATGCTCCAGTGTCTATAATCCAAGGACTGCGAGTGGAAGACAATAGACGTGTGTGTAGTACCTGACTGGGCAAAGGTAGCCGTGGAAGATGAATCAGATGCTTACTTATAAGACAAAAACTGAGTATACTCATCATGTGGAACAGGGACCGTATCTGATTCAGCTACGTTGTGAGATCCAGAAGCAACATCATTCGGAGAGGAGGAAACTTGATTTGCATAACTAGATGGTTTGCCATGAAGGTCCCAACAAAAGTTCACAGTATGATTAGAAAGGCCACAATGAGTACATTTTCGTGATTCCCCACCACGACCACGTCCTCCCCGTGAATCACGACCACCACATGTGGAGCGTCCCCCACGACCTCCACGGTAAGCATTATGTTCACCCTTTGAAACTACCAATGCTGAACGCTCACCACTCTGCCCAGTATTCAAATTGGAGGTGTCACTGGCAAGTGTAGCACGCTAAGGTCGAGAAAACACATCAACAAGAGATGGAAGTGTGGGACTACCTATAATTTGTGCACGAAAAGACTCGTATGTTGATGACAAACCAGTAAGAAAACGGACAACATTAAAGTCCTCACATTGTTGTTGCATACTTCGAACATCAACAATAATGGGCTGATACATATTCAGCTCCTCACAAACTCCCATAACTTTGGAATAATACTCTTCTATACTGTGATTACCTTGTTCAAGATTGAAGTACTGCTTACAGAGCTCATAAACACGAGCGATATTACCTATCCCATAATACAATTGTTGCAATCTGTCCCATATCTCCTTGGCAGTATCCAAATAAAGTAAAGTGGAACTGATTTGGGGTTCAATACTGTTTAACATCACAGAGATGATCCGAGCATCTTCCTTTTCCCATGCATCAAAAGAAGCATCAGTTTCCTTGAGTTTATCTTTAGTCAGATGAGTACCAAGACCTCTACCTTTGAGAAAAATTGTAACAGATATAGCCCACAGTATGTAATTCTTCCCATTGAGTTTAACTGAAGTCATGGAAGAATGAAGACCGGTCGTGGGAGAAAGCAAATCTGAACTGGACGCCATGTTGAACCTAGCAAAACAGAGAAGAAAAAGAATGCAGAATCTGTATTTTGGCCGAATCT